GAGCTTCCTTCTCGCCTTCAGGGCATTCTTGGATTAAGACTCCTTTGATGGCTTTACAACTATAAGTATTTATACTGAGTACCACGTATTTGGCGCCACGATGAACAGATCATGCAGGAAATCAAGAGGGCTTGTCAATCAGTACACTCCCCTTCCCCACCCAACTCTTTTTTTCACCCTGTCGTTTGTTTCGTACGCTCCTCCATTTTTTTCGGGCGAACAGGGGAACAGAAATGAAATCACCACATGAAATCCACATTCCCACAGGGCAATTCCAATCCCGACTTCCAGTCCGAGAGTTGCCCACGATACTTTGGCTAGTGGCCCTATTTGGTGAAACTAACAAGCGCTGAGTAGTGGATTTACGAGCCTGATTACGAATCGAACGCATTGAGCATGCGAATAAGTGACGTCGACATCCAAGGCACCTACAATGCATATGCAATGTCAGACACCATAAATATTCTAATTTCTTTATTTCTTAAACATGGTACTTCCTTATAACGAAGTATCAATGGCAAATACCACATGTTTTGGCGCAGTAATTCTTCGCAATAGCCTGGAAGTCTTTCTCTTTGCAGAGGCCTTCGTTATAACGACCCACACAGAACGCCTCGTCTCCTAGGTCCATGCATGGCTGAAAAAAAGTGTACAAATAAAAGTAAGGCAAGTAACAGCCAATGAGAAAAGCCCAGCAATACATGTGTACAATGTGTAAAATGTGTAAATATGTGTAAAAAAATGAATTATTGTACAGCATGAATCTCATTCTCAAGCCAACCTTTTCCGTTGGAATATAAGGGTTTATCTTAAATTAAGTGAGATTCATCTATGGGTTAGGTTCTTGGTCAAAGCTACGTTAACGGTACCTCTCTCACCTTGCTTTAGCTAAATTCAAATGCTAGTAGTCGAAATAACGATGCCCTAAAAGCTAATCCAGGGCGTACATTGTGACTTACCACGGTAGCTGTTGATTCTTGTGACTTACCACGGTAGCTGTTGATTCAGTTGAGAAGGCACTGAGCAGGAAAAGTGCACAGACAATGTAGAAAAACATATTCAATTCCGATGAATTGATGACGACAGTTGGCGGACCCTCTATTTATACTACTTCAACAGTTAGTGGAGAACAATGCCATTGTAATGGTGGGCAACGGGTGTTAATTTCGCAATGTTTGTGAAGAAGACCGATTGTTGACTTAATGCCTCACACATCTCGTCATCCCATCTGAACTGTACCTCGCCTTGGATATGAAATACACTAACAAGTCACACTAACAGTCAATAAGTCAGGCACATTAGCAAGTCCGAAGTTTTTCTATACTACCAATAGAAAGAGTCAATCATCATAGAGGACAGTCACTGAATGGAGGCTAGCCTCACAGTTACTGTGGAGATGGACCCCCAGACATTGAAGAGCCTGGCTCAGCACTGGAAAATGGGCCTTTCGACAAATTGCAGGCTTATTATGTCTCTCAACCAGATTTCACGCCAGTGTGCAGAAGTTCTTTGACTTGGATCAGAATCTCCATGAAAATGTCTTTAATTTCTAAACCATCTTTTTTCAGCTGGGTAGCATTGAATGACTTTCCCCTCATCTCTTGAACAAAAGCTGAAAAATCCTTGTTTGGAGTCATTCGAGAAACGTCATTCACCGGGATTTACTTATGAAAACACCTGCAAAGTGGATGACAATGGCATTGTTCTCAAACCAAGGTCATATGATATAAATAGTGCCCACGATCAACTGTCATCATAAGCCCATCAGAGTTCAACATGTTTTTCTACACTACCGGAGTGGGCAGAGGTGGAGTAGTGGCAAGTGGCGCACTTTACACACGCAGTCAGGGGTTCAAATAACGGAATGGCCATATCTGCCTAGGCCAACCAATCCTTCCATGCATATGTGGTCGGTTATTTGGTACCAGACACGTCTGGGACAACAAAAGCACTGACTTGCACATCGCCTGGCTACCGTAAGTCATTGTAAAGGTCATACACGCTTTTAATACGCCACGACGATTCTGAAAAGGAGTGGAATGCGGGGCGCATCCCTCAGACGGGATTGATGAACGCCCCAAGACTTTATCTTTATCCCTTGACTGTGGGATTTCTTGTCCAAGGCTTTTACAACAGAAGGCTCTTTTACAGCAGCAGGTCAGCTTGGGCGGCCGAGTGCGTTGGAGTCTGAAATCACAAAGTCTTTGGCTTCAGTCAAACCCGTTTTCGAGATGTTCCCCATATTCGGCTTTAAGTCAAAAGCGTAGTGACATATTGAATGCTTTAGAACTCATACGATGACTTGCTGTGGCCTGCCGATGTACAATTCAGTGCTTTTGTCCTCTCAGACTAGTCCGACACTAATTAACCGAGACCGTAGAGATATATGGCTCGGTTAGCTGGGTGAGTATCGGTTGGGGATTCATCTAAGGAATATGCTTGTGTGCGATTCAATGGAGTTCATGGGCTCGCGACAGGGACGAATGGGGACGTTAAGGACGCATTTTCGTGCAATTCATGGACGGGTGGTACAGGTGGTACAGGTGAACGGAAGGGCATACTCAACTTACGCGCCTATCCCTAATATGTTTAACGGCAAAAATCTCTA